GACTTGTCTTAAAAACAATCCCCTGAATCAAAAGAAACCACCCTTACGGGTAACAAAACAAGGCAACTCTCCCAGAGATTACTGGCAAATTGATTTTTCTGAACTACCCAAACAAAATGGATATAGGTATTTGTTAGTGTTGATTGATACGTTTTCGGATGGCCAGAGACTTTCCCTTGCCGCACCAACAAAGCTAGCGAAGTAGTTAAAATATTGTTGAAGGAAATAATACCGAGATTTGGGGTGCCAATGGGAATGTCCTCTGATAGAGGACCACATTTTGTGGCGAATATGGTTCAACAAATTAGCAAAATTTTGGGTATCAAATGGGACCTGCATACCCCCTGGAGACCACAATCAAGTGGGAAAATTGAGAGGATGAACCAAACATTGAAAAGACAAGTAAGTAAAATCTGTCAAGAAACGTCTTTAAAATGGCCACAGCCCTTACCATTAGCTCTCCTGAGAATAAGAATCCAACCGAGATCTAAGGATGGTATAAGTCCATATGAAATTTTATATGGCAAACCTTACCAGACTCCTCTCATCCCAGGGGATATGAAGGTAGCAGGGGAAACAGATTTGAAAATGTATTTGATTTCTTTAGGAAAAGTCCTTGGAGCCCTCCGAAGACACATAGTGTTGACCAGATCACTTGCCTTGGATACGTCTGCACATCAGTATCAGCCAGGTGATCTTGCGTACATAAAGACATGGGACTCTGAACCACTGCAGGAGAAGTGGAAGGGACCCTTTCCAGGTACTGTTAACAACTTCTACTGCAATTAAAGTGAAAGGAGTGGAACCATGGATGCACTACACTGGAGTGAAGAAGGCCCCTACATGAAAAATCGGCAACAGAGATCCAGAGATTGCAAAATTGACTTTAAAACATGTTTAAAAGGGGGGAATATCATTGTAAAACATGGGAAAAAAATATTCCAATCTGGAGACTGGTGATGGTAGGAGCATTGTTTAGAGCAAAGGTAAACTTATCAGGAGTGAGGGCAGAGAGATTTGTTGTCAACAGAAGCAGCACAGTTGATATACCTCCCGAAAAGAACTCCAGAAGAAAATTTGATGGTGGGACTGATAAAAGAGTTTGCTAACCTACAAAATATAACCCAAATAACTGCATGCCTCCCAATTCCAAGAGCAGTGGGTGAATCAGTTCCATGGGGAATCTTGACAACTAATCTGAGTAGTGAGGAACTTGGAATCGATACCATATACTGTAATCAAAGCCTGCTGTCGGATGGGTACAGCCAGCAGAACTATACGTTCAGCTGATCATTAATGCAACCAGAGGATGTGGAGATCAAGCTAAACAAAAGATGGTTGTGTGGGATTCAGTATAGTCAACGACCATCTTATCTCGATTTCAGTACATGGCCGAGGCTTCCTGGTGTTTTATTTGGGATGGTGATCGGTTCTCGACTTTCCCAATTACTGATAAAGAAAGTACCTCCTGGGAAGAAGAAGTTACTGTATCCTGGTGGAATTGTAAAAAGATCTATAATTGTAGCACAGTCAGCAAAGCAGTGCAAGAAATTCCACCCTTAGCAGCTGCATTGAAATATGGATGTTGGTGTAGAGGACTCAAAAATGATTTACAACTGACTGACAAGTATAAGCAAAAGGGGGGGACAGTATTTAATTGTGAAAAATCTACAATTCCAAGTCCAGGACATTTAGTTTGGGCAATGAGCGATGGAACCTGGTCTACCCACCTACCGGTGAATGAAAAGGTGAAACAAATCACTTTAGGGATGCTGACCTTATGTCTAATTTGGAAAAAGGCACCCTTTAGAAGGAGCTCTGAAAATTTAAAAATAATTTGAACAAAAAGATCACAAATTGATGATACAGAATGGAATGAACCTTCGACAGGAGTAGAAATTGGATGGGCTTTAGAATCTTTATTGCCGCCCCTATCAACTTACAAAAATAGAGCTTGGTTGTATAGACTAACTGGCCAGGTAGAAAAATTGGCTAGCGTAATAGGTAAGGGATTCAAACAACTAAATTTACAATTACAGGCGACCTCAAGGATGACCTTACAAAACAGAATGGCTTTGGATATGCTCTTATTAAAGGAGCATGGAGTTTGTGGATATTTGAGAGATAAGATGGATCATTGTTGCATACACATCCCAAATGTCACCCAAGATGTTGAACATGATTTGAGCTTACTAGGACAAATAGAAAAGGATACCCAAGAAATGCAACAAGATATGCGAGAAAATTGGCTAGACAAAATTCTCAGTGGGTTGGGATGGAATTTGAGTTCCTGGCTAAAATCCCTCATTAGCACTGTGTTGCTATTGACAATAGTATTCTTAGCAATACTGCTTATTTACTATTGTCTAAAGAAGAAATTCACTAAGAAGACTGCCCTTAATCAGTTAATCACACAAGCAGTAGCTAAGGAAAAAGATTTGAACGATTCGAACACGATGCCCCCACCATCAGGTAATAAGTAAATTGAATTGTCAGCAGCGAAACGGAGAATTAAGATGGAAGTATTGAAAAGATAATTATTTCAAAACTTCCAAAGGGGGGAAATGATACCCTAAGGGTCAAAAAGACCCCAAATGTAAAACGGCTTACATGTATAAGATTTAGGCCTTATTGTCTAGCTTGCTGTTACTTTGCTAAAATTAGTATTGTCTAGTTTGCTGTTGCTTTGTTATTAG